ATCTGTATTTGCTGTTGCACATAATAAAAAATATAAGGTAAAAATCACATAAAAACATTGAAAGACAAGTCAAGTAAACAGGAAAATATCCTTACCTTCTAAGAGTTTACAAACAGCTTGGGAGATAAGTATACAGCAGAGGAATCAATGCGCCCATAGCAGACAGTGCTCATGTTTCCCAAACCTCAGCTACAGTACACCACGTTCACAATTTTTACCATATCTGGGAAATATCTGAACTATCACGCACTTGAATTTTCTATATCTCACTTGTTTTTTTAAAGAAATCTACGGTTTTGTGAAAGAGACTTTACAGCAGTGCCCAAAATGGAAAGCTAGTCATCATGTGCCATAAATAAAGGGAGTCTCAAAAATAAATGCAATGAAAAGAAAACAGTATATATATTATTAAATGCCAGCTGTTGCTGTGTTGGTGGGACTAAAAATGGAGATTAGAAAGTGCTGGGTGTAAACCACAAAGTACAAGATCCAAACAGAGAGTTACCATTAGGATCAGGGTTAAGGTTTCCCCTTAATCTATGAAGAAAAAGAGAGCATTTGGAAATATCTTTCTCCCTACCTGTCCAAAGTTATTTAGTCCTTATTCCCCAAATACTTCTCATATCATCAGAGATGGCCTCCCACATTGGGAAACACTGTACTAATCTATGAGCTACTGACAAGAAGGCTGCAGATACTCAGAGAAGGAAGAGTCAGCTTCCTGGAGAAGGCATTGAGGGATGAGTAAGAAGAATGCAGGAGGGAAGCACACAAGAAAAGAGGGAAGGCAGGGATCCTTTTGACGTGTGCAAACGGGACAATGGAAAAACCATCCAACCAGAGCGAAGATGCAGCTCAGGGAAAGAAGAAAATGAGGGAAGGTGCGTTGAACAGAGGCGTGTTGTGGTACCTACAGTGGGGAAGAGAAGGTTTGACTCAATGCCATAGGTAATAGGGAGCCGGGGAGGGCTCTTAAATAGACGCCTGGCCTGGTGATGTGTAGTTCGGTGACAATACTCAGGTTAGGGGTAACACTCTGACCCATGGTTTACGTTGTAAGTTGGGTTCCCTAGAAGCAAAGCCTGAGACAGGGGTTCTTGTTCAAGTGATTTATCAGGGGAGTGCTCTCAGAAGGGGAATGAGGGAAATAGCATAGAGCAGGGGGAAAAAATGCAACAGTGTGATCTTGGTGGGAGATTAGCTTCAGTCTGATCCTCAGGGAAGCTCTGGAGCATAAACTGCTCCTCAGATTGGCCCCCAATGGGGCAAGGGGGCTGGGATTTGGTACCTCCTCATCAGGTATTGATGGAGGTCTGCCCCAAGGCATGGGGGAGGGAGCAGGTAACTTCCAGAGTAGAGCAACTCCTGTTCGGTCAAGGGCAATGATCCAAGAAGGAGGCAGCTGTGAGTTGTTGGCGGCTGGGGGCTATGTCCACTGTCCAGTTAAAGGGCATCTGGACTGTCTGTGATCTAACCAAACTCTCCAGATGTGTGCTGCCTCCTATTTCCACTTGCCTTTGAAGGACCATTCTTCCCCCTCTGACAATTCTCTCTTCTCTCTACTTCTTCACTGAGTTTTCCCCTATACATCTTATACTAGAAAACATGCTGTAACATCTCCCTTCTTCAAAATAAAAACAGTAAAAAATTAAAAAATAAAGGGCATCCGGGCAGGGCACCGCCAGGATCCACCATATCCGCGCAAGCACAAGCCTAGGGTAAGAGCAACCCGGCACGCAGCAAATAGCACACAGCTTTCGACATATAACTAACATAAAGCTTGAACTCTCAAACAGGATAGGGAAGAGATAGAGAGATCGAGGTGACCCTCAGCCAGTCACTTCACTTCTCTGGACTTCAGCCTCCCTTTCCACAACACAAAGAGACTAGCCTAAGTAATCTCGAGATTCCCTTCCATCTCGGCAGATTGTTTTATTCTAAGTCATGGTGTACTCTGATAGATATCAAATGTCACAGTAAAGCAACAGGACCCCAATTCAGTAAGCAGGTAGAAATCAGGAGGACTCAGAGATCACCAGCAATGCAAGGGGAGTGGTTCAAAGTATGGGCAGGTAGTCAGAATCAGAAAGTCCCAGAGCACAGCCATCCAGGGCAGAGAGACAAGAAAATACATATGAGAAAATATCACCAAGGAAGAGCTGGGCTCTGCCTCACTCTGGACTCATGGGGTCTGCACCTTACAAGAATCTATTAGACCAAGGCCTGGGAAGCTTAGAGGCCAAGGAGAGAGTGGGTGAGGGAGGGTAACTGCCCAGAAAGATGAGTGAAGACGTAGCAGTGCAAGATATAGCAAGTAGATTAGAGAGAAAGGAACTGGAGTTAGGAGACAGGTGACAATATTCTCTGACCCAGTTATGGGAGCCTCAGGAGGGCTGGAGGCTGAGAGAACAAAGAGCAGTGTAATTAAAGGTGGACGGAACCCCCTCCCAGGCTACTAGGAGATGGTAGGATATCCTGGACCCCGAGGGTCTACTGTGAATTACTCTGATCAGTGTTTCTACCTCTTGCTTCCTATCACTCACACCGAAGAATTCACACCCATGTGATGCCTCTTGTCATCTTCAACTAACACCATAGTTTGGAGTGGGAGGTGGCGGGGGACAGGGCCCGGAATCTTGAGGCTCAGGGCTTGTCCGGTACTGGGTCATGACTAGATGGTAGGACCCCTGAGCTGACCTGCGGTGGGAACTCATCAGCAGAACTGGTCTGGTCTTTTTGCAGGAGGAAATTCAGTCTGGTAGGATCTGTTTGATAACAACCTGGGAAGGACTGAAGGCAAAAGCAATCCCAGTACCCCTCCTCTTTCCCAGAACATCTGTTTTGAGGCCACAGTCACATTTTGCTTCCCATTTCCAAAGCCACTGAGGCCAGGCTGACTGTGTTCTCTGCTCTCCTCCACAGGGCTGGACAACATACACGGGATCACGTCCCAGGGCCGCTACGAGCTGCGCATAGACATGCGTGACGGCCAGGACGCCGCCTTCGCCTACTACGACAAGTTCTCTGTCGAGGGCAGCAGAAGCCTGTACAAACTCCGCATAGGAGGCTACAACGGCACCGCAGGTACCTTGGCCCCGAGCAGCCCCCGAGGGCAGTGGGCGTGCAGCAGGACCGGGCCCCACGTTCTAGGCCTGAGCTGCAGAATTCCCCGCTAGCCAAGGAGGAGGGCAGAGGGCTGGCGCACTGCCTCTGGTCCACGCTGCCCCTCACCACTCAGGTGACCTGAAATCAATTTCTCAGGACTTCAGTTTCCTCATCTGGAAAATCTTAATAATGATGCCTGTCCTAGTTCACAGAGCAGTCAGGAAAAAAATGTGATAAATAGAGCGAAAGTGTTTTTAAAGTGAACAGAACATAGTACAACGTGAGGGTGAAGGATTATTTTTCTTGTCTAGATTAATCAACATAGGCTCTTATCCAGTGACAGCATAATCATCTATTGTCCGGTAGAAATCTCCCCTGTAATGCCATCTAGGAAAACCATCTTTGAACTAATAAAAGTAAGACAGATTCCCCCCCATTCTGAGCTCTACTCCCCTCCATCAGCAGTCACCATAACACCTCCATCAAGGAACACACAACAGCTCCTAAATGTTCCCCAGGGGCCGCATTCCTTTCCATTCCTCCACGAGAACCTCACACGTGGTCATGTTTTCTGTACAGATTTTTATGGCAGTTCCACTAAGTAGAGCAAAACCATCTCTATAAGCTCTGTTGCATTAATAGTTTTACCAGAACATAATATCCAGTCTGCTCCTTAGCCTTTGCCAATTTATTTCAAGGGTTCTCTTATAGCACATTTCCTAAAACCTGTTTTGCCAAATATTCCACTATTTGGTACATGGAGTTATTGGTCCTTTCATTAACTCCAATTATAGGGCTAAATGCTAGGATATAAATTTAGCAACATTTTTATAACTCTTGGAACTAAGAAGATCATCCAAGTGTTGCCTCTCCAACGACTGCATCTGCTCAGTTATTTCTCTGCTCAGCCAGGTGCTGTTACTCCAAAGAGGAGACACACTTTCCCTTGTTGTTTGTCATATGGGAGATCATTCCCAATGGCAATCAGACCTGCCCGAAGTGCCCCAACAGAAGATCCAATTTACCACACTTTGGGCATAAAATAGCCATTGAAATGGAGTGTATTAAACAAAATATCAGACTAAATCATTGCAAAAATAACCTGATACCAACCACTCCCTAAGATTAGAATCGTGCCTGCAGAAAAGCAGTTCTTATTTCTCCCACAGAAAGCGAAGCAAGCCCTCCCACTTCCTTACGTGGCCTCCCTCCCTCCCTCCACTTCACCTGCTCCAGGCCTATGCTCTTACCTGTCTAACTTGGGCCCAGCTGCTGCAGCCTCTGTTGCAGCTCTATCTCGCTACTGGGCCCCATGGAGGTCATAACTGTTGGACTGCATTCTACTGTCATGTCTCAGAGGCAAGTCCCACCAACAATTTGGCCAATCATCATAAATTAATTGCAGTCTGACCTCTTATGTCATATATTCAGTTCATCTTCTTCAAAAGATGAGAAGCTAGGCTTATGTAGGCTGCCCCCTTCTCTGGGCAACTTCACACAATGGTTGTTCTTCCCAGGTTGGAAGGTCTCCAGGGAGGAAAAGCCCATTCTCTCTCTGGCATTTACTATTGCCCAAGTTCCCTGGACTTTATCTTATATGTTGCTCGTTTTTACTGGCCCTTCTGGCAACAATCCATCCCCATGGCCTCCAATTCCAAGTTCAGCCCCTTCTCCCATCTCCGTTGTTCTCAAAGGCTACAAAAATCCAAGCCTCTAACCGGGACTCTAATTGGATTAGAACTGAAAATTCCAAGTCAAGTTATCAATAAAAGGTTGTTGAGCAACCCTTAGAAGTTCATTGTGTGAATTGTGAGGACTCAGAAGAAGCATAAGACATGACCTCTGCAAGAACTAAACATCCATTTACAAAAACAGACCATTAAGAAGCAACTCACCACACAATGAATGGTACTTACTCCCAGTTTACCGGGCATTCAGAGAAGGGGGTTCCGGGTAGTTGAAAAAGGCTTCATGAAGGCAGTGGCATTTGACTGGGATCCTGATGGTAAAGGAAACATTCCAGGGAAGGAAAATCCTGGGAGAAAAATCACAAAAGGAGCAGTTACCATGGAGGGAGGGAAAGTGCAAAGGGCCTGGCTGTCCAGGACAGGGTGTGAGTTCAGAAAGAATAAAAAGAAAGTGGGTGGAGCCAGGCCCTGAAGAGCCTTAAAACGGAGGGGGCAGAGGAGTTCTGTCTTAACATGGTGGGCAGTGGGGAGCCACGGTGGGTCCTGAGTGACACAATGGATGTGGGGTTTTAGGAAGATCAAGGTGACAGCCATAAATAGGATAAAGTAAATCTGAGTGAAGAACAGAGACCAGCTGGAGCTGCTGCATTAATCCTGGTAGGAGATCACAGGAGACTTGACTGATGTTAGAAGTTAAGAGAAAAGTACAAATCTGAACAGCAGTTTGAGAGAGAAAAACCAAGACTTAGCTAAGGTACTGAATATACGAGGTGGCTATACGAAGCAGAAATGGGAGGGGGAGCCAGATTTGGGAAGGGGACATAGACCAACATCAGGATCGTATCTGAGAAAGCAGAAAGCAACATCAGAGTGGAAGTGGGAGAGAACCGTTCCAAGGGAGTAACGAGGTCAGCTTCTAGACTACAGGGGGAAAAGCAGGAGATGAGAAGGTAGGAACGTGGGTAGAGACAACACAGGGAATTGATGGTAAAGAAAGGGTCTTTAGAGAGTAGGATTAATTCAAGATTTTTTAAGACAAAGGATATGAGTATGAGTTAGGGTGAGAGGAGATGAAAACCCTAATATATATATATATATATAAAGAAAGGAAAAAATAAGACATCTTTTCTGCCTTCTCCAGGACCTGGAAGACATGGGAAAGAATGAGTTGCAGGTAGTGGGACTAGCTCTGGGTGGACACAAAGCCTGGTTTTTAAGAGACTAGGAGGGGGAAATGAAAAAGATGGGATAGAAATAATGACATATGGACTTAGGGACCCAACTGGCCTGAAGGAATCAGGCTTCCCCATAAAACAAAGATCATCTTCCTAAGAGTTGAGTTGTGGCCAGAAGCACTTGGAGGCATTGAGTGGCCACTGTGAGTGTGGACTCGGAAGCCACAGGATCAGAACTATGACCTATCCTGGCTTAAAGTGACCTCAGAAGCATCTGAGACAACACTCATTCAGTAGTGTGAGCCCCTTCACAACACTTCTAACGACAAATCCTGCCAAAAGTTTGGCCAGTAGGTGTAAATTAATTACGGTTTGATACCTCACCTCAAATACTCAATTCATATGAGTCCCCTGCATAACATCCCAACGAAAGAACACCTAGCCTCTAAGAATAGAGATCTCTCCATGTCTCCAGATAGTGTATACCACTTAGAAACAGCTCTAACATTTAGCTGATTTCTCCTCATATATTTAGCCCAAATATGCCACCTTGCAGTCTCTACCTACCGATCCTCATACTTTCCCAAAGAGTTTTTGTTTTTTGGGGGGGATTGTTTGTTTGTTTACTCAGTAGTCCATCAAATATTTGGAGTCAGTGATAATGGACACTGTCTCCCCCTTCAAGCCTGCTCTTCCCCAAGATACAGCCCTGGTTTCCCCAACCGCTTCTCCTCTGACATGGTTAGGATTTTCCTATCATCCTGTTTCCTATGGACAGGAACTCTAGTTAGACGATGTCCCTCTTCACATGTGGCCCCAAGTTCTGAACAGGGGGATACTGGGTGTGAGCTGACTGGGCCTGATGAGTCATGGAGAAAGCCAGGCTGTACGGTGGTGACCCGGACTGGCCCAGGTCACCATGGCTCATCACTGTCTCCTCTGAGACAAAAGGAGCCGTGAATGTCTGTGTCCCAGTGCTGGCCTGAAAGAAACAGACGGGGATGGTGAGGTGGAGCTGAGTGGACAGAGTTCTGAGCAGAAGGCCAGGGCAATGAGGCAGAGTAAGTCCCCTACAGACTAATGAGTTCCTTTCCGAGAGCGCGTTCATAACTTCCATTTGTTCGTTAAGTCCAACAAAGTTAGCCTAGGTACCCAACTAACACAGTCGGCTGTATAGTACTGTACTATAACAGGTTTATAATACTTTTCACACAAATAATACATAAAAAGCAAACACACACAAAAATAAACATTTTTAACTTTATAGTACAGTACCTTGAAAAGTACAGTAGTACAGTACAACAGCTGGCATACAGGGGCTGGCATCGAGTGAACAGGCAAGAAATAATAAAGATACTGTACTACCGTACTCTATACGGTACAAAGTACACAAAAGCACAACTACTTGGAGAGGATGCACGCACGTGACAATGTGCGCCAGACATGTGAACTAACTTACGTGACTGGACGTGCAAACACAGGTTCGCATCTTTGAAAGTTTGCAACTTGAAGGTTCACATGTAGGGGACTTACTGTAACGAGCTGGGGAGAGCAGCACGGAAGTAGTGGACCCAAGGGGTAGGTGGAGTAAGAGCTCAGTGCAGCCAGGCTGAGGAGCCAGATAGGAACAGAGAGGTGAGTGGAAGGTCTCTTAAGCGGACGCCAGGTTTGTTGGGCGTGGGTCAAATGTCCAGAACATCCTGACAAAAGAACAACAGGTTGGACGGCCTCATGAATGTGTCTTTTTTCCAGGGGACTCCCTCAGCTATCATCAGGGCCGCCCTTTCTCCACAGAGGACAGAGACAATGATGTTGCAGTTACCAACTGTGCCATGTCATACAAGGGGGCTTGGTGGTATAAGAACTGCCACCGGACCAACCTCAATGGGAAATACGGGGAGTCCAGGCACAGCCAGGTGGGTGAAGCTCTGCCGCTGCATGAATGACCCAGAGCCGTGCAGCCCACGTCCCTTGGCTTTATGTTCTAAGTACACAGGTGGGTCTTATATTTCCCTTTTAAAAAGATACACTCAGAGTGTTGAGAAAGGACTCCCATAAAGAGGAAAGTAATGCAGACACTGGGATAAGAGCAGGACAGAGTCGAAGCCAGGGGAAGAAAAGGGAGGCACCTGGACTCAGGAGCTGGAACTCACCCAGAGAAGTCTTTGACAGCCAGTCAAGTCCCATTTCATTTCCTCATCTAGCATATCCCATGAAAAGCTTATCAAGTTCAGGGACAGCGTCAGAGGCTCAGCTTCATCCAAAGAAGTGTCCTAGGAAGGGAGAGATCAGAAATAGCAGTGTAAACAGGACCGTCTTTCCCCATTAGAGACCACAAGTCTATAGGCTGGGTTGGGTGACAGGGTGACCAACTGGGCCAACTGGGACCTCTCCAATTTTAGCACTGAAAGGCTAGCGGCCAGGGCACCCCTTAGTCCTGGGCAAACCAAGACGGTTGGTCACCTGATAGGTGGAAACCACCTGACTCTCCCATCAGGAGTGAGCGGTCAAACACAGTTATGCTCTTCGAAATGCTTCTATACTGTTGGAAATTTGAAATTCAATACTAGTTACTGGTGCGTGCAAATCCTGAAACCAAAACCAGAAAGCCAGCAATAAGGAATGACCTGCAACACATTCCCATTATAGACCCAGGCCACTGGCAATGTCTAAAGAGAAAAGCTAGAAAAAAATCTCTGCTCTTTTGCCCTTTTTGGGAACTCAGCCTCAAGCTTCATGTTAATGGAAAGTGACTAAATGCACATCTTGGATTCTCCACTCTCATCATCCTCTTTCTTTTCAAGCTGGCAGTTCCGTTGAGGGGGTAGGGGTGATCTGACATGCTTATCTTTCTCCTTCCCAGGGGATCAACTGGTACCATTGGAAAGGCCATGAGTTCTCCATCCCCTTCGTGGAAATGAAGATGCGCCCCTACAGCCACCGTCTCGTGGCGGGGAGGAAACGGCGGTCCTTGCAGTTCTAAGCAGTGGGCGGCTGCGAGCCAACTGACCTTTTCTGTCATTTGTTTGTATTTTATAATATGAAACAAGGGGTGGGGGACATAGTAATGCTTTGCAACATATTAAGAGCGTTTGAAGGAAGCAGGATGTAGTAGGAATCAGCAGCTCATGGTTTCTGCTGCCCCCGGGCCTGACCCTCCGTCTCCATGCTCCCTCCTACCCCGTCATCCTTAACCTACCCCTCTTTTCCCACCAAGGAGGAAAAGTGAGACGTTTTCTTAAAAGACCAATTCAAAGGCAAATCCTGGAGTCAGACTCTGTGACGGTGACAGGCACGTGCCTTCTTTCCTGCCCTCCTTCTGAGATGCCCTTTACTTCCAGGTATTGCGCTCTGGTCACTGCCTTGGATGGCCAGGTTCTCACCCCAGCCCAGAGAAGAGGCCTCAGCAAGAAAGCTTTGCCAACAAGTCCCCTTAAAAGGAAACAGATTAACCTCACCCCGTCCCAACAACCCAAGGCCTAACGGGCCAAAGATTCTCATCTGACACTCTTACTCTTACCAGCCAAGTGTCCTCTGTCACCTTTCAAGAGTAGTGGCCTCTTTTCCAGCCAACCCATCCTTTGCCCACTTCCATCCTAACCCTTAGACCCCCTACGGCCCCACAAGCGCAACCACTGTTTTGGATTCTAGCTCCCAAGGTGTTGCCTGCCCCTGGCCTGGGCTGCATAGCAGCTGTGTACCTAGGGGTCATAAGTCCCTGCCCCTCCCTTGGGTCACAGACAGCAACTTTCTTTGAAGATGGGAGGGGGAGATAGTTGTGGTTTGTAGCACTTTGGGGTCAGGCATGGAGGAAAGGACAGAAGAAACAGAAATCAGGGTCCCCGCCATTGAGATGACCAGTTCCATGGGGCACACGGATCTCACTTGGCTCCATTTTCTCTATTTCTGGTCCTATTTGTCATGGATTTTTTTTTCCTGAATTGCAAACGAAAGGCCTCATTCCTGTCTTCAGCCAGGCTCTCCTTGGGGGTCGGGGTGGGGGGTGCTTAATAAGAGTCAGAAGAAGTTATATGACCAGCCAGCCATTCCCCTGACTGATAATCCTTGGGAAGAGGTAGAATTTTAGGGTTTTGGTTTCAGTTTTCTCCTCTTTTTTGGTCCTGTGAGAAACAGGAATGACCTCCTTAATGAGGTGAGCTCATGAGAAGCCTTTCTCCATCTTCTTTTATTATTCTGCCTTTGAGAGGAAACATGAAAAGTGCCAACGGAAATACCATCTAGAAATCCAAAGGGGAAGAGGGGAGGAGTGCGGGCCTACCTCCCATTTTCTGAGATGTGCTCTCTTCACTGGCATGATTTGATTTTTAAACCCAAGAGAGCTGGGGCTTCTAAAAGCCATGACCCTTCAACTTCTCCAATCAAATGTCAGCTGCAAGCATCCCTGCAGCATCTGCCAATCCAAGCCCAGTCTCTCCAGCTGCCTTTTCCCTTTCCTCTCCTTTTCCTTAAAGCCCCAATTCTGTTTTTTGTAATGCCCACATTTAGTCAAACTGGGGCATCCTGGGCCTTTCCCCACCGATCACGGGATGAGCCTGAGAGTTGGAAATTTTCTAATGGAAACATCCACAATCTAACCAAGCTCTGTTAACCAGGAAAGGAGAGTCCCTCAGACTGACAACCACCCTTCTGAGGTGATAAGGATGGAGTCAGCTGCCACTTGCATTCTCCCTTTAGCAGACCCTCAAGGCCTTGTGCACTGCCATGGTGTGGATGTGACTGCCGGACCAGTGTTGGACAGAGGTTCCATTTCTCAGTTCACCATGGGCTTCAAAAAACTAGGGGAAGGAAGAAGAAACAGAAACAATCCTTTCAAGAAACCTGCTGATTAAATAAGATTTAGATAGGGAGTGGGACACCAGTGAACAGTAGGAAGCATGTTGAAGGAGGAACCTGGCGTCTCAGGAATAGGCCCAGCTCTGCCACTTTGTTGGCACTATGACATCAGGACAGTTGTTTCACCTCTCAGGGCCTCAGTTTCCTCACCTGTTTAAAGAAAGTTTAGACTAGAATGGTTTCCCTTTCAGTTTTGACAGTCAGTAAGGCTAGTCTTTGACCTGAAAATGGAAATTGGCATTGGTGAGAGAGCACAATTAAGTAATGAAAATTCACCAGAAGCCCTGCTTTATGAAAGACAGAGAGACAGACAGAGAGAAGGAAGGAAGGGAGGGAGGGAGGGAGGGAGAGAGAGAGAGAAAGAGAGAGAGAGAGAAAGAGAAAGAAAGAAAGAAAGAAAGAAAGAAAGGAAGGAAGGAAGGAAGAAAGGAAGGAAGGAAGAAGGAGGAAGGAAGGAAGAAAGAAAGAAGGAAAGAAAGAAAGAAAGAAAAAGAAAGAATCAGAAGTCATCAGTCAAATATACACACGAGTGTGCGGCACGCACACACACACAAGAAAACATTGCAGAAAAGATTGTGCCAAATAAGTGGCTGAACTCATTTTGTCCATAAAAGCAGAACCCAGGGACCTAGTGCCAGTACAGCCCACCTCATCAAGGGAACTGAAATGGAAAAAGATCATGAGTCTCCATGCTGTCAATTCAGGTGAAAGCCAAGAAACATCAGTGGAAACCAAAATCTGTCTTTTATTGGAACCATTCTACCCTATGGAACATTTTTATAAATAATAGCAGCAGCATTGCCTAGATTCATGTTAAAGAATTTTAAGGCTAGAAAGGAACTTCAAAGATTAGCTCACCCAACATTCTAGAAAAGGATTTATAGATTCCTTTTATGAAGTAGAGTGATTTTCTCACAAATTTTCACCATTTTTAAGAGACACTGTGCCCCATTACCTCCCCAAGGCCCATGGTCAACTTGACTCAAAGCTTCATAAATAGACTCATGCATTCCTGCTTATCCTGTTCCTCCAAGTACCCGTGCTCTTCCCAAGGGTGGATCCAGTAAGCGATACTCACAAACCACTCACCCTCACACACCAAAGTTTCCCTCAAGGGACTCAGAGGGAATAGAAGTGGACTCTGGTCAGAGGCAGTTAAACTGCAGACACATCAGGATGTGTATTTAGAAAAAAAAAAAAAAAAACCCTACCACCAATGACTGCAATACACTCATTGCCTAGACCTAAGATCCAGACAGTTGCTTCTTTTTGCATTTCCCCATCAGATAATTTCCAACACAGTAAACTCACATTCTCCAGGCTTCTATCTGGAAGGTGAAGGGGCGGGGGTAGTGGGGAGATGACAGATCTGTGGAAAATTCCTGCTGGCCTTTAGACAGATTTAACTGGAGGAGGGAGACTTGCTAAGTGTGACCACTGGGGCATTTACAATCCCCAGTCACCTCCTGACAGTGGGGTTGAGGATACCCAGTGCCTCCAGGGTTTCAGGAGAACTCATACCAAACCAGGACCCAGGAAAACTGGCCAACTGATTTGTAAAAGAAACAACAACAAAATGGCAGCAAGAAAATGCAAAGCAAACTTCCAGAAAGAGTTAAATCCACCCTATCCTTCACCTACCAGCTCCCACTCCACTCCTCATGGAGCAGCAAGATACCCAACACCTGTGCCCTCCCACCTGGGAAGGAACCAGCTCTCTGCACAGTGAAGCTGTTATTTCAAAGACAAACCTGAAGAACCAAGGTTGCCAATGAGCTCAATGCCAAACCAAACAATCCTTAATCGCATTTATACCTTCAAAATCCAGTCCCAGAACTGAGCTGTAGATTAAGGGACAAAAGGTCATTGTGGAATATTTTCCAAGAGCCCTTTAAAAAGTATCAGTTGAGAGAGGGTTTATGAGTTCTTCTTTGCCCTCTCCTCTGGAAGATAAATGGAACCTGTGAGAACAGTGGGTGCACCAAGCCCACGGGGTTGAAATAGACTAGCTGGTGGCCTGGATTTGCAAATACCCCTTGGGCATGACAACATTTTTCTTTTTCTTCTTTAACCTCCACCCAGAATTTCAGGGAAGGTGGAGCCACTTAACTCAAGATATGTGATTTTCTATGCTTGCTTTCTTATCACCAGACTCCTACTCAATCTAATCCCTTACTTCCCTTTCTTTCCCTCCAAAGGGGGCCCTATACTTGCATCTCACTGTCCATTCTTAAAACTTAAAACTTTGATGAGGAACCTCAGAAAGATTCACACTTCAGTTTCAATAATCCCAAGAGGGTGGGGTAATCTGTTTTCACTTGCCTCAAACTTGCCATGGCTGCAAGAAGGGCCCTGGGACCTCAGAGGGCTGGAGTGAATCTGTGAAGTTTAGGAGTCTGCCCCTTGCACAAAGCTCCAC